AGTTATCCAATTTTATTTAACCTTATCTCCAACAACCTTAAAGATAACTACCTAAAAATCCTCAATTTCCATTTTAAATCAAACCCAAACTACCAAATTCCATCTTATCTTCTGCTACCTAGGATCCAACCTCCTTGGAAATTCGTCTGGGCCGTTAAATTGGAAGCCAGCCCAGCCCAAATCCAGCCCATTGATTTTCTTAATAATTGGGCTTTACCTTGACATGTGGCCTTACCCTATTGGTTTATTTTAGGTGTAAACAATAACATTGTAGTTATAGTGTTTTTGTAACTAAATAAAACATAATCAGCGAGATAAACGGACAGAAGTTAAAGAAAATATGTAGGCATAGAAAGTAAAATTACCAACAGGTACACACGTTCTACCCTTGGTTAGTTTTATCGCAGGTTCTTGTAATACTAACCAAGATCATAGGGCTGAATAAATAACAATGCTTTTCTTTTTCTCAAAAAAAAAAAAAAGTTTCTCTATATAAGAATATGTTTTTCGGGTTGGACTGCATATTAAAACTGTAATTCTAACACTGAAATTATAAAAATATTCTTAATAAAACCCTTCCTTATATTTATTGATTGTAATTTAGTAATTTTAGTTGTAGGATTGTGCTTTTAACGTGCAGTCTAGACTAAAATACATAAAATTATATATATATATATATATATATAACCTTGTGCTGCAGGCATTAAAACTTATTGCTATTTTTTTTTTCTTATTGTGTTTAATGTTTTTGAAAGAAACGAGCCATTGATATAACTAGAGAAAAAGTGGACATTATAGAAGTTTACCTTGACATCCAAAAGGTAGATAAGGATTGCCTTGAAATCCAGGATCACAAAAACATTGTCGAGTTGTGTCTAGGGGCATTAAAGTGGAAGAAAAACCATGGACAATATAATTCTTATGATGGGTACAACAAAATGCATGATCATATTTGTATGGTAATCGTGATGCATCCACCTCTGTAATCACCCAGTTAAACACATCTGTAACATATTCTTCATGGTCAAGTGGGGACCCCAAGGGGGAGATGAAAGGACTTCCTGAGAAATTCACAGATTTCAACTCTGTAGACAAGTTCCGGAAGATTATTGGTATTTTGACGGCAACAAATTAAGCTTGAATCAAGAGAGAAATACAGCACCTCAATTTCTATGCTGGTTAGTAAAGTTGTAGGAGGGGTGGAAGTTTCATTGCAGGAGACCTCAAACCATTTGTTCACGTAGCAATCTGCTCCAATTCCAAAGGGGTATGGGATGCTGACATTCCCACAAAACTCTTGACAACCAGGCATTGCCAGAGCCTGGCCTCCTGCTGATTCAATCATTAGCAGTTCTAAGAAAACAAAAATAGATAATGTTCGGATGATCATTATTCTTTTTTTCCTTAGATGCTTATTAGATTTGAGATTTAGATAGCATTGTGTAAGTGGAAGTTTATAATATATAGTTGAGATGAAGAAATGTATCCATGTTTCTATGCATGGTCTGGGGCTAACTGCCCAAACAATGAAGTTCTAAGGAAGAAAGAATCAACTAGCTGGCTTCACTAACACTTTAATACAATGTTTACTAGAAAAATTTAATCCACTTGAAAATTCCTCCCTTTTTTGACCTTTTTCTCTTCTAGAGGATGGTTGGTCCACTTGGATGGAAATTCTTAGCTTCTGTTTTACGTAAAATTCTAGTGCTTAAGGGTCCATTTGGTTTGTGAAAAATGATGTCATTTTGAAAAATATTTTCCTCCAAAAAGATTATTTTTGGTTGTTGGAAATTGGAACACCTTAGAAAATGTTTTCAGGAAAATATCTTCTGTTTTTTGGTAAGCAAAGAAAAATCTTCATACTTTCGTAAGATCCACCAAGCAAGGAAATACATACTCAAGGTTTAGCTGACTGTTAATGTATATGCTGTCTGAGTGGTGAACATTTCAGCATAGTTGAACTGAAATTAGGAAATGAATTTTTGCTAGCCTTTTGAGAAATAAAAATAAATAACTCATGCATACACATATTAATACGTATATGTATATAGCACCAAATCTAAAAAGTACATGACATCTATCATGTGTTGAGGACTTGGTTTAGCCTTGGCAAGTTTTTGACTGTGTTTCGGCAAAAAAAAAAAAAAAACACCAAAAACCAAAAACCTTGGCAAGTTTTTTATAAGTCAAAATGAATTTAAAACAAAAATAGAAATGGTTCAATAATACTTTAGCCTGCCAATTATATCATAACCATGTTGCGCAGAACATTTATTTGAACTTTGAACCGCAAAGTGACAAAAATAAAAATTGAATGAAGTAAAAATTTTCAAACACAAACAAAGAAAGCGTATTATGTCCCCAAACATGGAATAAATGCATTCTAGGATAGATCAGTTAAAGCCCCATGATTCACTGGAAATTAATGGCTCCATGTCTAAAGACAAAGCTGCTTCAGAGTCCAAACCTGAACCTGTTGAAGTTGACGCACCATCCCAGATATTGGTTACTTCAGTTTTGACATACCTAACCTCTTCATGATTTTGTTGACCATTTGAAATGTTTTGCGAGAGAAGAATCTGCACTATCTCTGCAGCAACTTCCATCATTTTTGGCCGCATTTTACCTCACAAGCTCAAGCATCAATATGCAAGTTTAGTATCCTTTGTTATCTCTTAATGTGCAGAACTCTCCCTTACTTGAGCATCAAGAATATTAAAGAGTCTAGTCTCTTCCATGGAAAAATGAAATGTGAGGCCCAACTTCTTGCTTCCATTTCCTCCGTCCCTTCTAAAGAAATTGGTTTTTCTTCAGTTAAGAGCTCAACAAGGACAACTCCAAAGCTGTAAACATCACTCTTTTCAATAAATTGACTTGGCTAGAAATATTCAAGGTCCAAGTACCCAAATGCACCCTTCACATTTGTGGTCAAATGAGTTTGATCGACGGCAATTGATCTTGATGTCCCAAAGTCTGAAACTATTGCCCTGCACTTTTCATCTAATAGAATATTTGAGGACTTGACATCTCTATGATAAATGGGAATGGAGGCTGCTGAGTGCAAGTAGGAAAGTGCACTTGCAACTTCTGCTGCAATTGTTAACCTTCTTTCCCAAGTTAGTGGGAAGCCCTCATTTTGATCATGTATGTACTGGAAAAGTGTCCTGTTGGAGATGAATTCATAAACAAGCAGAGGAACTTCAGTCTCCAAACAACGGCCTAATAACTTAACAATATCTCTATGATTAATTTGTGTAAGAATGACCACCTCATTGATGAACTCTTTAACTTTCTCTTTATGCAATATTTTGGTCTTCTTAACTTCAACAATTCTTCCATCAACGAGCATTCCTTTATGAACACTGCCCTGGCCTCCTTGACCAAGTATTCTATTTTTGTTGAAATTGTTAGTCGCTCTCTCCAACTCTTTGGTACTAAATATTTTGGTTTTTCAATATTACCCTCAGTTGAAGATAGTAGTTGCTTCAATAATTAATCTCCATTTAGTTTGAAGAACTGCTTTTGAAGCTTCTTTTTCCTTCTCTTCTTTAAGATTTTGTACAACCACCATGTACCAATAGGTAAACAGTAAACACATTACTCCAAACCCTAGGCTAATACCCGCAGATATCAAGAAAGAAGAAACAGATGACTTTAGCAAGAGAAACACATGTATATCAACAGTTGATTTATATAAATGTCCAGTTTCATGGTTAGACTATTCAAATTTCAAAATGAAATGGAATGAAACCAATAAAAGTCCACAGGATTGTGCATGGTCTTTAAGAAAGATCTTTAGGTGAAAAAGATGATGAGAGATGGTGTTAGTATTGAAGCTGGGGATGGTAGATAGACAAACAAACCTCCCTTTGTTACGACTGTTGGCTACCAGAGGACAGAATTTGTGAAAGGCAACAAAAAATAGCTGAGTTCACTGTGGGCAGCATGAAACAAAAGTTCTCAGTGGAGACAATCTGGATGGCAGATACGAACTAGATATTCTGGTATGGTGGCTGAGATGAAAGGCTTGACTTTGTCTAAGGGAGCAAGTAATGTTTTCTTGCACTCAAGAGGCTTATCAATCAATTAAATTGTCAATTGTCAATTGATGAGGTTCCAGGTTTATAGAGTTCCTTGGTTTAGATAAGTGTGGCAGTGTGGCATTCTAGTGGGATTCCTAGATGGCTGTGTATCGTATAGATGCTAGTGACAAGCTCTGTTGAAGACATAGGTACTGAACTGCAGGGGTATGCGTTTGAGTTTAAATTGTTTTTGAGTTTAAAATTGATTTATATTCTAAAAATGATGAATAAAAGTCCAAAAATATGGATCTTACCCAAAATTATAGGCCAGGTTATTTTGCCTTTGGGTTTGCAAGCCTAGTTCCCTGTCTTGTTTACACAAATTGAGTCCCAACCACGGTTAAAAAATATCAAAGGCATATTAAAAAAATTCCAATTGGTGCATCTGCCACCCTTGGTTTACCTTGACATCCATAAGGTAGGTAAGGGTTGCCTTGAAATCCATGTTCACAAAAACATTGTCGACTTGTGTTTAGGGGCATTGGAGGGAGGGAAGAAGTATTATAAAAGAAGGAAGAATTAGCAATAGTACCATTAAACTGGGAACAATTAAATGCATGATCATATCTATATGGTGATTGTGATGCATCCTCATCAATAATCACCCAGTCTAACACAGCTGGAACATATCCCTCAGGGAGCAACGACATTCTCCTTTTGTAGGACATGAAAGGATTTCCCAAGAAATCCAAAAATTTCAAACTTACAGAACACTGTTGGGAGATGATTGGTATTTGGACATTAACTATGCTGTGATCAAGAGAGAAATACAGCACCTCAGTCTCCATGCTGGTTAGTAAAGTTGTGCGAGGGTTGGAAGTTTTGTCACAGAAGACCTCAAACCCTTTGTGCACGTAGCAATCTGCTCCGATTCCAATGGGGTATGGAATGCTGACCCACAACACTCTCTACAACCAGGCTTCACCAGAGCCTGGCCTACTGCTGATTCAATCATTAGCAACTGTAGGAAAGCAAAGATAGATGTTCTCGTGATGATCATCATTCTTTTGTTCCTCAGATGCTTATTAGATTTAGAAAACATTGTGTAAATGAAACTTTATATATAGTTAAGATGAAGAAACGTATGTAGGATGCATGTTTTGGGACTAACTGCCCAAACGTTGAAGTCCAAACTCAAAACGAAGAAAGACTCAACTGGCCAGCTTCACTAAATATAATCTGATGCCTTACTAGAAAATTTTAATCCACTTGAAAATTCCTTTTTCTTTTAGAGGATGGTTGGTCGCCACTCAGAAATATTCTAAGCTTCTAGTTTCACCTGAAATTCTAATGCTTAGATATCATTAACACATTCACCTGTTGACCAATTGATGAATACTCCTTTTAGTCTGATTTAGTTGTCTCGCTTACTAAATAGACCTGGTCTAATTAGTCATCTCACTTGTTAAATAGAGGCTGTCAAATTTAGTTATCTCACTTTCTATTTTAAAAAGATTTTTATTTTTATTTTTTTGGTTAAAATTTTAAAAAAACTTAAATACTAGTATTTCAATTTTCATTATCTGAGATGAAACAAAAATGCATTTGAGTTTTTTGGTTTAATTGTAAGGATCAAAATGAAAAGATGTAGACTGAATTATATCATCTTGGTTCTCCATATTATGCGCGGCGGAAATTAGGCCTCTTCTTGTCTTATGATACTTGTTTTGACTTTCGAGTTTGCAGATGGAACAAAACTACTTGGAAGGCTATTTTAAGGGAATAACTGTCTACTTTGACGCTTCTGCACACAGGTAAGTCTTTTTACCTGGTTTTTCAATGCTATAATTACCATGGTATCTTAGAATATGTTATTTTGGCTATACAGGAATTAAGGGCATTTCATGCTAGTCTGATGATTGTTTTGTTAATGCTGAAGGTGT